GGAGGGATTAACTCTAAGGATGTAGGGGCCCCAGGGCAGGTGGGAAGCTGGCTTCTCCCAGGCAGCATGGCCTTGGCCTTCTGCCTATGCTCATCTCTGCCTGTTTGCTTTATCTCTCTCTCTCTCTCTCTCTCTTCCTATCAATTTCTCTCTCCCCCCACCACCCAGATGGATTTTTATGCCGTCGTGAACACCTGTTAATTGTGCCAGCTAACTCTGTGGAGCATTTAGTATGAGCCAGGCTATTGAGCACTTTTCCTGAATTGACTCATTTCTTTTTCTCAACACTGTTGAAAGCCCCTGTGATTTTTCATGTTCTCACTTTTGAGTTAAGTTGGTCCTAAGAATAACTGTTAAAGAAAAAGCAAACTGGGGCTTTAATAATCCCCATTTTACAGCTGAGGAGAGGGAGACATAGAGAAAGGAAGTATAGTGTGTAAGGTCACACAGCCCTAGGTGGCAGACTCCAGCCCAATGTCTCACACTGGGTGCAGCAGGGACTGACTTGCAGAGGTTAGCCCTGTTCCAACCCCCCTGCAGGAAGCTCTGATCCAGTATCCATCTCTCCCCTACTCTAAGGTGACCAGATTTTAACATTGGTAAAGCGGGACACCATTGACGCGGGGTGGGGGGGTGTTCTTAATTAAAAATTTGGTCTATATGAAGCAACAAAAATTTTCATAGAACGCAAAAATAGTATTGTAATATATTTTTAAAATTTCAACATAAGTACAATTTACAAATATAATACATTTAAAAAATTACATATAGTATTATTTTATTCTTTGGCATATTTCTCATTTGAGTGAATTTTTTTAAGTAGATTGCTATCATTGTTTAAAAGGTCATGAAATTTTTCACAAGAATTTGTTAAATTATATTTCACACATAAAATGGCTTTCAAAGTCTCAACACTTAATTGTGATTTTTCTGATGTCCACACTTTATTACTGTAGAAAAAAACACGTTCAGTCGCAGCATTAGTTCCTGGTAAGGACAGCGCATATCCCACAATTTTTAGTGCATTATTGTATGGAATATGGTTTGTTTCAAAATGATGAAATATTTCTAACCATTTGTTCTCTATTGTGATTTTTGCTGATGCCCAAGATTTAGCCTTTTCCTTATCAATATATATTTTTAATAACGATGCCTCGTAAGTCTAAGGTGACCGGACGTCCCACTTTTGGCAGGACAGTCCTGATTTTTAATAATTTGTCCTGCGTCCCGCAGTGTTTTTAAAAAGTCCCAATTTTTGGAAAGAATGCACAACAAGCTAGGGAATGGCAGGAGAACGGGAAGGGAATATAGGTTTTCAGCTGCCATGTGGCTATTTTGCCAGGATATGAGTTTTATATTATTTTTGTTAATTTTATAATGTTAAATTTTAATAATAACAAATAATTGTTGAGAACTGATTATCGAGAACTGCTTATCAAAGTTCTCATTGTTGATCAGTTGTTAGAATTCAACCACCATTGTTTGGACTTAATGAACAATGGCAATTTTTGGCATTGGCAACCACGAAAACATTTTGTAACTGTCTCTCAGATGACACACAGCATACTTGCGTGCTAGTGCTAGTTAAACAAGTGATGTCAACAAATCAGCTATTCAGATAATTTAGGGAAGTAATTTATTTATTTATTTCATGAATTTAGCAGACAGTTCTCATTTATATTTTATAGTGGCAGCAAAAAGTCTAGTATCAGCCTTGAAAGTGACACTTACAATTAGGAGACCAGCCATCACCTTTTAGAGTAGCTTCTTAATTAACAGCTCATTTCTCTAAGAACCATCCCTTTCCCCTTCTGAACCTGTGTAGAGCAGTGAACCATCCTAGTTTGCTTGAGATTATCTGCCCTTAGACCGAATGTCCTATATGCTGCAGCCTTTCTATGAAATGGGGGTGGTTGGTCATCCTACTTGGCAGCCACGTTCCCATGGCATAACTTCCCCTTCAATGCACCTGAGTAGACGGGGATGCCAGTGCACTGGGGAGTGGCCAGCCACCCTACTTGCCCCCACTGCCCTAAGCAATGGCTCCTTGTTCTTTGTGTCATCTTAATACAATAGGCCAAGCTAAGGATCAGACAGAACCTGGGGTCTCTACAGACTTGCTCTAGCCAGTAGGGGGTAACTTCTAGCAATGACCAAGGAAAAGGCAAGGAGAGGCAGGATTGGGGAATCTGCAGATAGCAGGAAGAGGCTAAAGCAGGGAAGCAGAGAAAGATTTGTGGAGGTTCAGATGGTCAGGCCCACCCAAGGGGATGGGGCAGGTACCAAGGTATTTGGGACATAGATGTCCAGGGCATTTGGTGGTGGGCACAAGAAGCCTGGCAATAAGTCAGACCTTGAGTATTCAAGGCTCTAACTTCCTGCTACTCTGCAATGTTTTTAACCTTTTTTTTTTTTATCTCATGGCACACTTAAACTTTCATGGCACTCTTAAATTATGTTGATCAGAAAAAGAGCAAAAAAAAAAAAAAAAGAATATACTTACTGTGCTTTGAACTTGTTTTAAAAATACTTTAATTAATGATCTTTTAAAAATCCGTGTGGCACACCTAAGATCCTCTCAGGGCCCACCAGTATACTGCAGCACATCAAGTGAAAATCACTGCTCCAGAACTGTGCCTCCATATTCAGTAAAATGAACATAGTTCTCTGAATCATCATATTACTTTTCAGAAAAATTTGGAACAGCCAAACCCACTAATAAACTGGGCTAGAAAAATATCTTGCTAAATCATAGTAGCACTACTGGTTAGAAACAACCCCAGCTGTTGTTTTGTCTACACAATGAGTACAAAAGATGGGAGATGAACTGTGGATGGAAACTGTACATCATCAACTGAAAATCTCTGGTTTTACTTGCAGCTGAATACCATAATCAAGAGCCATAAAATGTTGATTTTTGTTGACCCAATCATTCCCTTCTAGAGTATTTACTAACGAAATAATCTTAAATGTAGATGAGGAGTATCTGTAATGACATTTATCGCAAAATTATTCCTAATTATAATTAAAGCAATAATGCACTTGAAGAAATATTATGTGACCGTCCTCAGTGATGGTTATAAAGGTTGGTGGAAACATTTATGTTATAAAATTATATGTAGGGTAAGAACACAATGGTATAAAGACAACAGAATCCAAATTTATGTGAAGTCAAATGGGATAGAAAGGGATTACACCAGTGTTTTCTGCTGATGGGGATTTAGGGACTTTTTGTTTTTTCTATTTTCCTTTTCCTGTAAGTTTTATAATTGGAAAACATTTCTCTCAGCTCCCCCCAACTGTTCCTAAGTGCCTTTGGAAGGCAGTATAACTGATCCCCATGCGAGAGGCTTAGGTGCAGACTTACCTGGTGAGCAGGGACTGGGACTGCTGTACTCACCGTGCTCCCCGGCAGTGTGAAATTCAGTGAAAAACTCTGCAAAAGACAAGGAAATGTTCATGTTCCTGGCTCCTCCCCCAAACTCACTGGCCTGGTGGTCCCAAGAGAATCATCTCTCCCATCTCTCAACCAGCCCCAATCTTCGCCCCTAGTCTTGGCTCCAAAAGAATGAGGGGGACAAAGGAGACTGAAGCCATGAGTCCTCCCTCCGTACCAAGTCCATCTGACTCTTCTCTCCCTGGGTCCTCACCCCAGGCCTGCTAGAGAGGCCCCCAGTGAGGCGATTGCCTGAGAACCATTGTCCACAGGGCAGCAAAAACATTACTAGAAATTCAGCTGAAAATTATATTTTCCCCAGAACTCCTTTCAGTAACAGAACTATGCGAATTTAGAAGTTCTCTGTATTTTTTGCTAGGAGCAGAAAGTAAGACTGGCCAGGGGCATGGTCTAACAAGAACTCCTGACCCTCCGCTCGCTTCCCAGGAGGGTTAACCAGAAAAGACAAGGCCTTTGCTGAGTCCAAGGCAGGGATTCCAGGCTGCTGGAGGTGACCTTTCTGTGCCCTCCTCCCACTCAGCAGCCAGTTTCACCTCCTCACCAAATATGGAGTCAATTATGTAAAGATCATGAGGTCAGGGGGCACCAGACAGTCTGCCCAGGTGCCACTTACCTGGGCCAGACCCACCCAGGGTCTGTGGTGGCTCCTTTCTCCTCCCTGTCCCCATCCTGTTACCCTAGTTTGGCCTCATCCATGCCAGTCTTTCCAGGCTCCAAGTCCCTTCCCCACCTCTGTGGGAACAGTGGGTGCACCCTGCTCCCTCTCAGCTCTCTCCCTTGGGCTGAAGTGGTCTTCTTTCCACTAGCTGGAACTTCAGTCTCCTGAGTCCAGTTGTCCCTGAGTAATGCTCCCCTGGCGGGGGCAGCCCCCCAGACCCCAGAACTTACTGTACTCTACAGCTCCTCCCCTCCCCCCACGGCCTCCCAACAACAAGCTCTGCCATTCTAGAAGCAATGCGTTTGCTAAGTTTTAAAATTAAATGTTATCCATCCCTAGGAATCTCACAAAGAACAAAAGAATCACAGTCTTTCACACCCAAATTACCTCACAGATGATCTGCCTTGAAACTCTCATTTTATAGAAGGGGAAACCAAGACCCAGGGACTAATCAGAAATTACCTCATGGACAAATGAGAACAGTTAGAGCCTATCTCTGAAATCAGGACTCCCAAATGGGCTTCATTCCCAAGACTCACATCCCACTTGAAAGATGATGCCAATGTAGGTGAGACTGATGAAACACCTATTTTAGCAAATCTATTGGTGGATTGGAATTCAGGTGGATTAATAAATGAGAAAATCTCTTGTAAGCCAACAGCGTTTTAAGCACCTACGGTGTGTACTTCCCCCCAGAGCCTGCCCTAAAGAGTGTGTCCTTCGGTTCAGAGGGCCCCACCCAGCTTGCCTGCCTCTGGTCACTCTGCTCACTTCTCTGTCTCTTAGCAATAGGGGACCCACATTTCAGAGACAATGCTCAAGTTCACACAACTAATTTGCTGTCACCAGAACCTGGGTTTTCTGGTGACAATCAAGCACATCATATGCTTTGGAAGATCATTTCTGGAGGTAAAGGAATGGGGGAGGAAGGACTTGTCTACAAAAATGTTCTGGAGGAATGTGAGTGTTAACTAAAGTGGTTGGTTACTTGAGTCCCTCTGGTTTTTCCTATGGCTCCCCATTCCCTCCCTTTCCTAAAAGAACAGAGAGAGGACTAATTCCTCCAAGACACAAGTGTGGGGTCCCTGTGCCACACATTGTGTTTATGAGAATACTCCTGCAGGTGAGGTAGACACACATGAATCTTAGGATCTGATGGAGAACACGGTAACCAAGTATTACGATAACTCACTGGGGAGGGGGGTGGAGGAAGGAGACAGGAGTGACATTTTAGTCCAGGGCATTTGGGTACGTTTTATAGAGATGACATGGATTGGATGGAGATGAAGGAAAGAAAGCAAGGATAATATGTACAAAGGAAGGGACATGGCAGGTTTGGAGAGCCCAAGATGTTCCATCCGCCTGGAGCCATGCTTCTTTTTTGAAGTGAGTGATTTGGGGCCTCATGGCCCTGAATGTAGGATTGGGCAAGTTCACACAACTAATTTGATGTCACCAGAACCTGGGTTTTCTGGTTACAAACTCTTTCCACCACTCCACAAGGCTCCCAAACAACTCTTATAGTTTCCTTGGATGAATCAGAGTCCCCAGAACTTACAAGCACAAAGCCCCTTTCCTCCTGGGACAATGTTAGAACAAGAAGTACATCTAGGCCTCTTAGGTCAGGGTCTCCTTGCTCAAAAGATGTCACCATGCCCTTTATGCTAACACCAACCAAGCCAATAGATGCCACAAGGACACTTGATGGTCACTGCACTGAACGCAGCTGCCCAGAGCCTTATCTCATCTGCGAGCCCTGGGCACTGATGTCAGCTGGCCCGAGACAAAGCTGCCTTTGGGAGAATGGCAGAAGGATGAAGCAGCAACAAGTGGGCCATTGCATGCAGTGTTTATCAACAGTTGGATGACGAAGATTTTGGCCAATTTCAGAAAAACATTCATAATTTGTAGAAACACAGTACAGTGCTCTCATGGAGAGAAAAACATCACGTAAATCGGGGTGGAGAAGAATCTGAGGCGGCGCCCTTGAAAGATGCAGCTGGGTGGCGTGAGGCAACCCTGGGCTTGGAGCCACCTGATCTCAATTCAAGTTCAGGCTCAGCCACTTAGCAGCTATGTGGTCTGCAATAAGTCACTCAGACTCTCTGGGCTCCGTTTCCTCACAACAAATTTATTCTCCCAGGCTCAGCTTTCCCATCCTCAAAATGGGGTGCTCTTAACTTGTCCAGCCCACTACACAGGATAAGCCCCAAGGAAACACTGGCATGTCTGTGGCAGCTTTCCAAACTGTAAAGTACTCTCAGTGTGGGGGGATTCATATGGTATCATATTCTTCATGGCCTGGCCAGCACAGAGCTACCTGGGAAGTTCTTGTGGGCTGGAAGTGCAAACATGAATTAGCAACATTCCAAGTACCAGAATTTGATGCAATACGCATTGCTTATTGCTCATCTGAGTGGTTTATAATGTCTTCATAATGATCCTGAAGGCACTTTGCAATCTCAGTGGCTGCATATCCCTGTGACAAGTGTGAAATTTGTGAGGGGATAACAACTCACTATTATTGAGGGTGTGCTGTGTAGACACCTTCACAACTTCCCCACGAGGGAAGCATTGGTATCCCTACATCACAGGTGTTTCTACGGTCAAGATAGATTTCTGAAGGTCACGAGCTTATAAGTGGTAGAGATCAGGTTAGAACACAGATCTTCCTAACTCCAAAGCCTGAATTCAACTCCTTTTAATAATCCTTTTTGTTAAGGATTTCACATAAAAGTGAGATCATGCAGTAGTTTTTCTTTATATCTGTATTTCATTTAGCAAAATGTTCTCCAGGACTAAATAGGGCAAATGTGACAAATGGCAGGGTCTCCTCCTTTTTTAAAGCTAACATTCTATTGTATCTATATACACCATGGATTCTTTATCCATTTGTCCGCTGACAGACACCCAAGATATTTCAAGAATCCTTACATAAGAAAATTGGAGACAGCTATAATGTCTTCCCTTTTAACTTAGCAAACTTCACTTGACTGAGTCCCAACCACACATATGTCACAAGTCAATAAGAAAGGTGGGACAGCTCTTAGGAACAGCTATTAGGCGGCAATTAGGAATAGCATTTTGCTAACACTGTAGCTGAAGGCAGATTAAACAGAGAAAAAGATAAAAATTGTTGATCAGACCCTCTTCTCATCTCTCATAGGCAGCTTAAACCCCCCTCCTGGAGTCATCTAGAAGTGAACATAGCTAACATATCTCCTCTGTACCCTCATTGTATGTGGAAGTTTAAAACAAAACCTTAATATCAAAATAAAAGATGAGATCAGCATTAAATAAGAATTGTTTTTAATGATTAGTATTTTGTAAATAGGAAAACAATCAAAAGCCAAGCTCCTTGACTTTTTTATACTAAGTGCAGTTCCATTTGATTAAATTAGGAGACGTGAGGTTTAGTAGCCTGGGAATTGTTCCTCTCTTCCTAGAGGGAAATGCAGGTTAGGCTGGGAAGCGATGCCAGCTCTCACTCACCATTTCTGACAGCCTCCCGCGAACCTTCTCCGAACACTGTGCTCGGCAAGCTCCTTTCTCACTGGCTTGTGTCTCCCATCTGTATGAACAGCAGCTGAGAGAGCTGGGGAGGCAGGGTGAGAGGTGGCTCCAAGAGAGCCCTGGCCGAGCCATGTATGGTCAGGGGAGTAGCCAAGTCCTCAGCCTGTCCCTCGAGAAAGATGAGCTCCTGCTCTGTGGCTACTGCATATGGCCCGTGTCACCCCCCACTTTGCCTTCATTTTCCATGGTTTTACTTTCCATGCTGCCTCCTTGGCCACATCTGCATGTCAGCTGGCCCGAGAGCTTGGGGGCTTCTGCAGCCTGTAGTGCTTCAGAAACAATGGGTTACACAAGGCTGAGGCTGGCCACTCTGTCCGTAGCTGACAGGGGTCCACATTAACCACATCCCTGACCAGGATGGAGTCAACACGTTACCAGTATCAACATCAAGGGTGCCTGGAGGAGGCTATAGGCTCCATCCTGAGTTTGGGGCAGGAGTCCAGCTGCCACAGGGAACGGCGCTCACTGGTCAGCGAGCTGCCTGGTGGGAATTCAGCCTCCCCCCCTCTCTGTTCTCACAGTTTGAATGGGGAGCCTCCCAAAGGTAGAGGAAGCCAAGGACACAGGTTACTTTGTGTCTTACAATTAACTCTGTTAGGAGTTTGTTTCTTTAAGACAGCGAATGAGTAGCCACAAAACAACAGAATAAAACCAATAATTTGGTCATTTAAATAAAAATCACCATGAAATGAGCAAATGGGGGTGTCAGGAGAGAGACAGTGCTTTAGATGACTCGGAGGGGGATTTAAGCTGCACGTGAGAGGTGAGAAGAGGACAGATCTGCAAGGGTTGAGGGCACAGGGAGGGCAAAGCGCCAGAGCCAGAAGAAGGCGGCACAGCTGGAGGAACACGGACCAGTGAGTGGCCAGAAGGGGTTAAGGGAGAGTGAGGGCCAGCCCTTCAGCTGTGGCAGGGCAGGGCATGGTAAGATTTTCATTCTTAGAGCAACAGGAAACCTGTCCAGGGTTTTCAGTGGGAGAGAGGCATGCTCTGATGGCTGGCGACACAGGTTGCCTTGGTGTCTCTGAGGAGCCTGGACTGCAGAGGAAGAGAGTAGAAATAGATGCTGGCCCCAGAGTCCAAGCCGGCGATAAGGTGGACACAGGAAGCAGTGGATGATGTGTGACTTATCATGGAGACAGAGGAAGGGGAACTTGAAAGTAAGGGCGGTGGAAGGGAGAGGAGGTGAGGGAAAGGGCAGAGTAAAGCCAGCTCCTGGGTCTTGGGCTTGACTAACCGCGGAGGTGGAGACCCCATTTGCTTAGGCAGGCAATATTGGAGAAAGATCTTTGGGTGTGGGATCCAGAGCTCTGTTTCTGCTCCTGGGTAGCCTTTGAGCTGTCCAAGCACAGACACCAAGGAAGTGATTGTATAAAGGTGGTCTGGGGCTGATGATGTCCATTTGGAAGTGGTTTGCCTACGGATGGCTTTAAAGCCACTGGGACACATGAGCAGAGCAGGGGGCTGAGTCGGAGGCCAAGGCTTCATGGACATTTAAGGGCCTAAGAAGCAGGTGGATAGCAGGTAAGTGTATCAACGGCTGCTGAGAGGAGTCTGGAAAGAAATCAGAGTCATCTGATTCCCAGTATGGGGGTTGCTGGGGACCAGCACAAGAGCAGTTTTAGTGGCACAGTGGCAGAGAGATTGCCTTCCATTGAGTGGGTTTTCCTTACTGGTTATAGTCCTGAATCAGCTGGGGGACTTATGAAGACTCCAGATGCCTGGGCCCCACCCTTAGAGACTGACTGATCAGAGGGCTCAGGGCATCCCCAGGGTGGTAATAAGCAGCCAAGCATGAGAGTTCCTCCTCTAGTCATCTCCCAGACTGTGATAGGTCACATGTAACATGCCGGGCATGAACACTACACTCAACAAGGTCAGTGTGCTCCTGCCTTGTGGGCTTCTGGTTCCCAAGACTCCAGGGTGACAGCCCGAACTGAATCTACTAGTGCCTGAGTCATAGAAACAACACAGTTCAGAGAGACCTGTGTTTCAGCCAGAGCTGCCATACTGGAAGCTGTGTGGTCTTAGGCAAGTGAAATAACTTCTTCCAGCCTCAGTATCTTAATCTATAAAGTGGGGGTGATATACAGTAGGACTTCTGTGAATTGACTACCCAAGGGACTGTAACAAACTGGTCAACATACGAAGGTATCAACATGAGGAACTGCTATTGAGTACATGTGGTGTATGTCCAGTCTATGAAAATTAGGTCAACTTGAGGAGGTGGTCAGTGTAGAGAGATAGTCAGCTGTGGAGGTTCTACTGTTGTTTACAATGACGGGACTATTTAAATCAGCACAACTAGTACAAATTATGCTTCTAATTTTGCTTGACAAGCACACCTAGACCAGAGAACCGAGCCAAAGAACTCCAATTCACTGCCCAGCATCCTCTGGTGAGGCTATATGTGGATGGACAGGGTCAGTGAGGTGCTTTTGACTCTCTCTGCTGTATGCATTTATGATCACTGACTTGTTCTTCAATAGACACATCAGCTCTTAAAGAGGCTTGCTGACATCGTCAGTCAAGGGGTGCCCCTGCCTAAGTCAGTCATGGTTCTCCAGTCACATCAAAACTGGACTCTGTTCAATGTTTTAGAAAGGGGAATTTATTGGGTGTATGTAGTGGTACTCACAGAACAGAGGGCCAGAGAACCAGCTCTGGGAAGACAGAGGGAGGTTGCTCCCAAGGCTTCCACAGCAGGACACTCCCCTGGGGAGCTTTCCAGAAAAAGTAAGCATCAAAATTCTCAGATCAGGAGATCTTTTGCCCCTGTGATCTGGACTCTCCCCAGGAAGAGGATCTAGTTGGTCTACCTTGGCTCATGTGCCCAGAGGGGATGTGTCACCTGGCAGACAGTCCCTGCTGAGGGTCCCTCCAGAGAGAAGAAGCAGTTCTACAAACCAAATTTGCCACTGTTACCTAAAGCAGAGGGAATGGATGAAGTGAGACTCCTTTAGAAGCATTAGATCTAAGAATCATATCCTTAGAAACCAGAGAAGGAATGCCCTTAGAGGGTGAAAAGTTAGGGTCTCCGATACTGAGATTCTCTGATCATTTACATTTTGCTATCTTTTAAACTTGTGTAAGGCTAGATTCACAGATGGCTTTCTAGGCAACATCCGGTCAGCTTAAAAAGCTGGCCCATTCTAGATGATAGGCGGCTGTCTCTGTCCGTTCAGGATGCTATAATTGAACTCCACAGACTTGGGAGCTTATAAATAATGGAAATTTATTTCTCACAATTTTGGAGGCTGGGAAATCCAAGTTCAAGGAGCTGGCATATCCACTGCCTGGTGAGAGCTGCATTCTGGCTCATAGACAGCTATCTTCTCTGTGTCCTCACATGCTAGAAGGGGTGACGATCTCTCTGGGGCCTCATGAAAGGGCCCTCATGACCTAGCTGCCTCCCAGAGGCCCTACCACCACATTTGGGGTTAAGATTTCAATAGATCTATTTTGTAGGTACACAAATACTGTCTGAAGCAATGGCCTTGCTCTAATTTTTAGAGACATTTATTGAAAATGTCAGTAATGAAGTAATGATGAAGTAAAACTTTAGAACAAACAAAAGGATCCTGGTCATTTCCCTAACTATAAATGTCACATAGGAGAGGCATTACCGCTGCCCACCAAATATCCTAGTTCACCTTGTTTTTCATATGAAGCCAATTAGCCATATGACTTGCTTTGGCCAATGAAATGTGAGCAGATGCAGTATGTGAGTAGCATTGCTACACCAGGCAATTTTAAGAGCCAGTGGGTAACTTGTCACCCTCTCTTTCCTCCTGCCATAAAATCCAGCAATGGTGCTGTTCTATTGGCCAGGTCCTGACTGAGGATGATATGGAAGAGTTTCCAGATAACCAGAAATGAACATGTAGTGTGGACAAGAACTTATCTTCTTAGGTAAAGCCCCTGAGATTTGGTGTGTGTGCTGTCGCAGCATCAGCTAGCCTATGCCGACTGATACTGAAGCATTCATCCTCTGGCACCACTGAAGCTCATCATTAGGTCCAGATGATGAACCCTGGCTGGGGATCCAGGACTAGCTAGCTGTATACATATATATGACTGGTGACTGAAAATGGGCAAACGAATCTTAAAATCTTGAGACAAGTGCTAAGGAATTTTGCCTTGAGACCAACTGAAGTGTTTATAAAATCATGGTTCTATATCTTCCTGTAATACAGGGTGCCCACAAGTTCATGTGCAATTATTTATTTTTTTAAATAAAATTGCACGTGTACTTTGTGGACACCCTGTATAATCCACAACATTCCAAATATACCCCAAAGCCTCTTTCTCTAGTCAACCTGAGAAGGGTGTCCTTTTTCATCCTGTGTTAGAAATGACTATCAGTCGGAGTCCCTGCAGGAGGTAGGTGATACACTCACTTTACTCTATCTGAGAAGGGCTTATTAAAGGGCCTCTTTATAAAGGTTCCCACTGGGGGTCATGCAGTACTCAGGGGGAGGGAGATCAGTAGTTTCTTATTACCACCCCAAGGCTGGAAGTGGCAAATGGAAGAGGGGGTGGCTCCCAGGGCCCAGAGAGAGAGGGGGCCGCCTTATGAGAACTGTGACCTTTGGTCTTGCATGTCAGATACAGTCCTCAGATGCATGGCATGGCCAGGTGGAGAAGGGTGGAGCGGGAGCTGAGGGGCAAACAGGAGATGTCTACCACATCTGGAACTACTGCAGCAGCCATCTTCACAACTAGGTTATCAGAGTTCCAGCTCATTTTGGTCCAAGGAACAGGACAAGTTTGAAAGCCATTTTTAGCTTGGCTCATGACTTTCTGGGTCCAACAGTGAACTCTGCTCTGGGTCTAGACACTTGAGTACTCACCAGAGAGTAGAAGGCCACAGAGAAGGACCCCCTCTTAATATCCTCCCCATGCTCTTATGGGGCAGGAGAAAATAATCATTAAGAGGACCTATCTTGTTTGAACTAGCAATATAAACCCAGAACGCAGCCATAAATCCACATTCTTTAATGAAACCACCCTTTCTAAACAAAGACATATGTTAGCTGCTCTCCACATTCTCTTTGAAACCGACATTGT